GCGGCTGACTTTGACTTATGGAGGAACCCCTCCCAAGGGGCCACAAAACCAACGCATCTGGAGGCTGGCACCAGACCACAATGGAGCAACTCCTGACTAGTCCCTTTAGTGATATACACAAAGGGTGGTTGCAACACAAGTCCGCTAGAGCAAAACTAACTCAGTGGGGTCAGTGCCCACACGACAACTTTTATCCTGAAACAACAGGAAAAAACTCCAGAAAATAAACTAAATGAAATGAAGGCAAGCAACCTACCAGAGACAAAGTTCGAAATAATGATTATAAGGATGCTCAACAAACTTATGGGGAGAATGAATGAGCACAATGAGAACCTCAACAGTATGAAAAAGGACATAGAAACCATAAAAAAGAACCAGAATGAAATGAGGAATACACTAGAAGGATTCAACAGTAGACTGGACGAAGCAGAAGACTGAATCAGCGAATTGTAAGACAAGGTAACAGAATACACCCAATCAGAACAACAAAAAGAAAAAAAGAATTTTAAAAATTGGGGATAGTTTAAGAGACCTCTGGGACAACATGAAGCGTAAAAATAACCAGATCATAGGAGTACCTGAAGAGCAAGATAGAGAGCAAGGGACTGAGATTCTATTTTAAGAAATAATGACGGAAAACTTCCCTAACCTGGCAAAGGAATTAGACATACAAGTTCAGGAGGCACAAAGAGTTCCAAACAAGAGGAATTCAAACAGACCTACACCAAGACACATATAATTAAAAATGCCAAAGGCCAAAGACAAAAAGAGAATCTTAAAAGCGGCAAGAGAAAGGAAGCTGGTTACTTACAAGGGTACCCCCATAAGAATGTCTGTTAACTTTTCAATGAACTTTGCAGGCCTGAAGGGAATGAAAAATAAGAATCTACAACCATGAACACTCTACCTAGCAAGGCTTTCGACTAAAATGGAAGGTGAGATAAAGAGCTTCCCAGACAGAAAAAACCTTAAAGAATTCATCACCAACAAGCCAGCATTACAAGAAATGTTAGAAGGTCTTCTGTAAAAAGAGAAAGAATAAAAAAGAAAATAGAAATAACAAATATGAATAATAAAATGGCAGTAACAATGTACCTATCAGTAATCATTTTAAATGTAAACAAATGAAACGTTCCAATCAATAGACATAAAGTAACTGAATGGATAAGAAAACAAGACCCATGCATATGCTGTCTACAAGAGACCCACTTCAGATCAAACGTCACTTATAGACTGAAAGTAAAGGGATGGAAAAAGATATTTTGCGCAAATAAAAATGAAAAAAAAGCCGGGGTAGCAATACTTATATCAGATAAAATAGACTTTAAAACAAAAGCTATAATAAGAGACAAAAACGGGCATTACACAATGATAAAGGGAGCAATAAATCAAGAGGACATAACCCTAGTAAACATATACGTACCCAACACAGGAGCATCTACATACATAAAGCAATTATTGCCTGACATAAAAGGAGAGATCAATAGTAATATACTCATAGTAGGAGATTTTAACACCCCATTGACACCAATGGACAGATCTTCCGGGCAAAGAATCAACAAGGAAACAATGGGCCTAAAAGACACACTAGACCAGATGGACTTAACAGATATTTTCAGAGCATTTTACCCCAAAGCAACAAAATATACATTCTTCTCAAGAGCACATGGAACATTTTCAAGGACAAAGTACATGTTAGGTCACAAATCAAGTCTCAATAAATTTAAGAAGACTGACATCACATCAACCATCTTCTCTGGTCACAATAGTATGAAACTAGATATTAACTACAAGAAAAAAACTGGAAAATACACAAACACATGGAGGCTAAATAACATGCCACTAAACAATGAATGGGTTATTAATGAGATCAAGGAAGAAATCAAAAGATATCTAGAGACAAATAAAAATGAAAACACAACGCTCAAAATCTATGGCGAACACAGTGAAAGCAGTCCTCAGAGGGAAATTCATAGCAATACAGGCCTACCTCAAGAAACAAGAAAAAAGCTCAAATAAACAATCTAACCTTACAATTAAAAGAACTAGAAAAAAAACAACAACAAAGCCCAAAGTGAATACAGGAAGGAAAGAAATAATAAAGATCAGAGTGGAAAATAAATGAAATAGAGTCTAGGAAAACAATACAAAAGATTAATGAAACCAAGAGATGGTTCTTTGAAAGGATAAACAAAATTGACAGACACTGAGCCAGACTCATCAACGAAAAAAGAGAGACGACTCAAATAAATAAAGTCAAAAATGAAAGAGGAGAAATAACCACAGACTCCACAGAAATACAATGGATCATAAGAAAATACTATGAGCAATTATATGCCAACAAATTGGACAATCTGGAAGAAATGGACACATTCCCAGAAATATACAATCTCCCAAGACTGAGTCAAGAACAAACAAAAAACCTAAACTGACCAATTACCACTAATAAAATAGAATCAGTAATCAAAACCTCTCAAAAAACAAGTCCTGGACTAGATGGCCTCACAGGTAAATTTTGCCAAACATTCAAAGAAGAATTAACACCTATCTTTCTCAAACTCTTCCACGCCCCCTAACTCCTTTTATGAGGCCACCATTACCTTGATTCCAAAACCAAAGACATTACAAAAAAAGAAAACTATATGCCAATATCTTTTATGAACATTGATGCAAAAATCCTCAATAAAATATTAGCAAACCGAATTCAGCAATACATTAAAAATATCATACACCATGATCAAGTTGGATTTATTCCCAAGATGCCAGGTTGGTACAATATCTGCTAATCAATTAATGTGATACACCACAATAATAAATTGAAAGATAAAAACCATATCATATCAATAGATGCAGAAAAAATGTTCGACAAAATCAAGCATCCATTTATGATAAAAACTCAGCAAAGTGGGAACAGAGGGAACATACCTCAACATAATAAAGGCCATATATGACAAATTTACAGCTAACACCATACTCAATGGGGAAAGGCTAAAAGCATTTTCCTTAAGATCAGGAACAAGACAAGGATGCCAACGTTCACCACTCTTCTTCGACATTGTATTGGAAGTCTTAGCCACAGCAATAAGACAAGAAAGAGAAATAAAAAGCATCCGAATTGGAAAGGAAGAAGTAAACTCTCGTTATTTGCCGATGACATGATATCTAGAGAATCCCTAAAGATTCCAAAAAACTGTTAGAACTGATCAATGAATTCAGTAAAGTAGCAGGTTACAAAATAAATATTCAAAAGTCAGTGGCATTTTTATACACCGATGATGTACTTTCAGAAAGAGAAATTAAGAAAACAATCCCACTTACAACTGCGTCAAAAACTATAAAATACCTGGGAATCAAATTAACCAAGAAGGTAAAAGGCTTATTTTCAGGAAATTACAAGTCATTGAAAAAAGAAATTGAAGAAGATACAAATAAATGGAAGCATATATCGTGTTCATGGGCAGGAAGAATCAACGTCGTCAAAATGGCCATAGTATCCAAAGCAATCTATAGATTCAATGCAATCCCTATCAAAATATTAACAGCAACTTTCAGAGAGCTAGAACAATCCTAAAATTGATATAGAGCCATAAAAAACTCCGAATTGCTACGGCAATCTTGAGAAAGAAGAACAAAGTTGGAGGTATCACACTACCTGATATCAAACTATACTACAGGGCTACAGTAATCAAAACAGCATGGTACTGGCAAAAAAGAAAAAGATACGCTTATCGATGGAAGAGAATAGAGAGCCCAGAAATAAATCCACGCCTATACTCTCACTTAATATATGGAAAAGGAGGCAAGAATATACAATGGGGTAAAGACAGTCTCTTCAATAAATGGTGATGGGAAAATTGGACATGTAAAAAAAGGAAGGTGGACTACCTTCTTACACCGTATATAATAGACTCAAAATGGATTAAAGACTTAAATGTAAGACTCAAAACCATAAAACTTCTAGAAGAAAACATAGGCAGTAAACTCTCTGATATTACTAATAGGAATTTCTTTTCAGCTATATCTCCTCAGGCAAGGGAAACAAAAGAAAAAATAAACAAATGGGACTACATCAAACTAAAAAGTTTTTGCACAGTCAAGGAAACCATCCACACAATG